GAGCATTTCTCAGCATTTCTGTCAATTTGAATGTACGTGGCCGAGTCCCTGTCCTGTGTCACCTCCAGCTAGTTGTACCATCTGGTCAGTCACCCTCCGTCTGCGGGTTGCGGTGGCTCTTGCTTTAGCCTTTGTGCGCCGCTGTAGGGCCACTTCCCACATGTCCTTACTGGCCACTGAGCCCGACCCGCACCCCGAACTTGCCTTCCTAGGAGGGGCTTTGGGAGAGGGGTGTAGAAGGCCGAGCGTATTCTGGCCTCTGAACGGCCCCTTGCGCCTCATCTCCAACCCCTGCTCCAAGGAGGCACCGCGGGGTAGGCGAGGCGGGCAGTGGGCTCTGAGAACTGCCCGCGCCCACACTGAAAGCAGATTCCGAGGAAGGAATATTCATCTGCAGCTTGGGGGGGGGGACGGCTGTGGGAAAATCCAGGTCCAGAAGGAGGCACAGATGAGACGCCAGGATGCCAGCAGGGCCCAGGTCTGCCTGCCCCTCAGCCGCGGCATGACTCAGCCCGGCCTTGCTGGGTAGGCGCCCGGAGGGTCTGCTGGGGGGCAGCCGGGTGTCTGTGGACGCACACCATGTCTTTGCTGTCAGTACAGGCGATATTTAGACACTGCCGCTGCCAGCTATATCTAGATAAGTCTAATGAGCAGTAGTGGGAAGGCGCTGGTGGGCAGAACAGTGGTGTCCAGGCCCTGTCCAGGCCCTGAAGAAGGTGAGCTGTGAGCATAGGCCAGGTGGGGGTGGAGCCTGCGGGGGGCCGGAGAAGGCAGCTGAGGAGCCCTCTCGCAGAACTCGGGACTTGCAGACCTGGGAATCCTCCGTCCTGATTGCATCTGACACTCGCACTCGGACACGAGCAGCCTTTCAGCCTGTTTTCTCAAGGGTCCTTGAGGCGGGAAGCTGTGCGGCGTGTGCCCCTCTGGCAGGACGGCCCGACTCTCCGTGGCACAGCCGGCGCTGTGGGCCCTCCAGTGCTCCATAGAATTTCCTTTTTTCCTAATTGCAAGATAAGCCCTACGGGCTCAGGGCTGCCTGGCAGTGTTCAAACACACGCGGCGCCAGGAGAGCGGTCAGTTCGCCCGAGCTGTCCCCTCTCTGCTGCCACTTGCTGCCTTTGGCGTTCCCACCAGTGAGACCAGGTCACAGAAGGTCGTCTTCTAAGCCCCTACATCTGTTATTTCGGGAACTGAGGACTGCTGCAGGTTTCGCGCACGCTGGAGTGGACGTGCATCACAAGGGGAAGAACTGGAATGGGACTAGGTGGCCAGGAGATGGCCCAAACTGGCTGAAGGCCTCAGGGGTCCCTGGAGAGTTTTTAAGGTGTTTTCTGGTTTTAAAACTCTACAGCCCCTCTCCCCAACCCCCACGGTTTCTGTTTTTAAGGGTTTATTACGTGCCCAGCTTTGTGCCAAGCTCGCTCCGGAGAGTGCTAGGAGGGGTGGGGGACTGGGAAAAAGCCCGTTTGGGAGGTGCAGAACCAGTGTTGTAGTAGAACAAATTCCTGTGGCGGGTTGTTAACAGCGGCTCCTGAGATCTGCTTCCGAGGATTTCGGGGCGTCCCCGACGCAGCTGGTTAACAGGGGAAGCCGGGCTCCCTTCTGCGCAGTCTCTGCGGAGGGAGGGACGAGTGGGGCTGACTGGAGGAGAATCGCAGGGTGGTGACCTCACCTTCCCAGGCGCTCCGCCCCGCCAGTCCCCTGCCACCCTCCCTGCTGAGTAATGCAGGTTCCAAAGCTTATTTTGGAGCATGAGTCGGGGAGGCAAAGGAGCCGACTCAGTTCTTTCCTGACACTGAAAACGGCCTACCCAGCCGCCCCTCCTGGGGCGCCCACTCCTATCGCGCCCCTTTCTCTTCCTGCGGGGTAGTTCCCACCTCACGGGGTCAGCCACTGTGCTGGTGCGGGGTCTGCCCCACACGTCGTGTGGGCCGTTTTAGGAGCTCTGAAGGCCACTGTGTAGGACTCGAGGCTGGTGAAGCAGCGTGCAGAAGGCCTCTGACACGGGCTTCTATTCTGGGAGGCAGTGGGATGGTTTCTCTGCTCCTCTGGGAACATTGCACAGAATGCTTCTCGCCCCTTCCCCTGGGGAGTAAAGCAGCTCGGGGTTGCAGGAGCCATAACCGACAGACTTTCAGGTGTGGGTAGGCTGAGCCGACGAGGGGACAGTCCTGACACGCGGGGCGTTGGGGCTTTCTCCTTCCAGCCTAGGCTTTCCTTTCCCTCCCCGAAATGGCCAGTCCATTTGCCGTGGCTACAGTCAGGTACATTCCAACACTGGGATCAGAGGAGATTCCATCAGCACAGGATGATTCTTCCAGCACCGGGGTTTTGTTCTGGAGATAGTCTAGAGAAAGGCAGACTGCCAAGCTTGTCTGCGGGCTGATGTTAGGGTGACAAGGGTCTCACTATTAATGAGGGAAAAGTAATCAGCAGCCTGGAGTGTCTCTTTTTGTGCAAAGCCCAACACTTTGGACAAAAGTACAGGGAAGATTGGTTTTTTCCCCTCGGGACACTCTCCTTTGAAGGAGCGAAGATGATGTAACCCTAAACGGCCACTGTCAGGTGAAACTCTAAGGGGTATGGGACAGATGCTGGAGGAAATCAGGTAGATTGCACTGAGTGAGCTTAAGGGAGTTGTCCAACCAGAGTGCAGAATCTGGAAGGCAGGGAGGAAAACAAAGCTGGATGTCATGGAAGTCCCTTTCAGTGGCACCTGCTGACCAAAGACAGGAAGGAGCCGAGTGTATGCCAATGAAGTTGGAAAGATGTCTCCAGACACTTGAGCCGGTGGGCGGGGCTTTAAGGTGTAACCAACTGAAGTGTCTCCCGTGGGGCCAGATTCCGGAAGGCCTGGAAACCAGACCCCAAGACGGGGGAAGTTAGGCGGCAGGAAGTGGTCAGGAGAGGGTTCCTGGCTCTCGGGAGCTGGGTTCTGTGCAGAGGCAAGTGGGAATGTCCAGTCTCTAAGCAGGGGCGGGCCGAGGCCAGCGAGACAGGCTACTGTGGGCTGAAGACTGACCGGTGGTTTCTTCCTAGGAAGCTATGAGGGACCCCGTGAGCAGCCAGTACAGCTCCTTCCTTTTCTGGAGGATGCCCATCCCAGAGCTGGATCTGTCCGAGCTGGAGGGCCTGGGTCTGTCGGCGTCCACCTACCAGGTCAAGGAAAGCGCCGGCAAGATGGGTGGGCCAGCAGCTGCGGCCCAGGAGAAGACCCCTGACGACGACACCCTCCTCGAGTACAGCACCTTCAACTTCTGGAGAGCGCCCATCGCCAGCGTCTGCGCCTTCGACCTGGACCTGCTGTGATGCCGAGGGCTGGCCCACCGCCTGGCCCTCAGTCTCCGCCCAGGCCCCTCCTCGCCACCCTTTCCCCACTTTCCGAGCCCTGCCCTCTGCTGTGTTGAGGTGGTGCTGATGAGCCGGCCAGCGTCGTGTGTATTTATGTATTTATTTATTTATGTATGTATTTATTTATTTACCCATCTCCCTAGTTTCTCAAAAAGGCCCACATGTCAGAGGGGCCCAGCCATGGGGGTTGGGCCCCAGGCCCCTAGAGGCTGGAGGCTCAGGGCGGCTCTGACATCCCCTCGATCGCCGGGGTGCCCTCCTAAGTTGCTGCCCCATGCCGAGCACGAGTGTTTCCAACCATGTAGACTTTAATTTGGGGTTCTCTCCGAGGAGGCAGGGTTTCTAGAAGGCTACGGTGATGGAGGCTTGCTGGTTTGAGCCATTCCTTCTCGTAACACTTTTCCTCAGAGACTGAGAAAAACAAGGGGCAAGCACTTCCCGGGTGCGGGTGCAGAAAGGAGCTGTGCCCTGGGGTGGCCTCTTGGCTGCTCTCAGGGTGTCCGCCGGGCGCGAAGCCAGGCACCGGCTTCCCGACAGGAAGACCAGCCCTGCCCACTGTGCACGATCGGTCAGCTCCACTCCGAAGGGTCCCTCTGCCGTGTCCAGCCGCGCGGTCTCAGCCAGCCCAGTCAGGATGGACACTCCTGACCCTCCCCCCCATGTTGCCGCCGCTGACTCGTTTAATAAACACGTTCAACCCCAGCTCTGGCCTGGTCGCTCCTCGCGCGGAGGCAGGTGGCTGAGCCCCAGGAGCGGCTTGGTCTCCACTCCGGACCTCCCCTGGGTGCTGAGGGTGGCCATGAGCCTCGGGGACAAGCAGCGGGAAATCAACTGCCGGCCGCTGCAGTGTCTAGGGGAAACTGCCCTTCTGCTGCCAGGGCCTGAGCCACGGCGCCCCAAAACCGACGTCCCCCGATGCGCAATCGGCTTCGCCCTCCCCACGTTGCAAAGCCAAACCATTTGGTCGAATTGGGTTTGGGGCGCCCCCTTCAAGGGTACAGGGCCAGACCCGCAGGGGGATGTGGTGAGGGAGGAGACGACTGACAAGGGGGGGCC